TAATAATAATAATAATAATAATAATAATAATAATAATAATAATAATAAATTAATAATAATAAATAATAATAAATAATAAATAATAATAAATAATAACAATAAATAATAAATAATAATAAATAATAATATGGGAAATAGTCTAAATGCTCTGATGGTCCTTTTGAAAAATCCTTTCTTAGGGAGCCCGTAGAAGCCAAGCCATATGGGCCAAATTTCAAGTTTGTAGGTTTTATGGCTCTGGAGATTTTGTGATGATAAGTGAGTAGTATTTTGCTTTAATATGTGTATAGATTATTATTGTTGTTGTTGTAAAAGAATAACAAACAGAATGGAATTTATTTAGCAACTGTTTGAAGTTAACAGTGGCACTGAAAAAAGTGACTTATGACTGTTTTTCACTCTTACAATCATTGTAGCATCTCCATGGTCATGTGATCACAATTCAGACACTCGGCAGTGGGCTGCTACTTACACTGGTTGCCATGTCCCAAGCTCACACGGTCCCCTTTAGCGACCTTCTGACAAGTAAAGTCAATGGGGAACCAAGATTCACTTAACAACCATGCTAAACAACTGCAGTGATTCACTGAACAACTTTGGCAAGGAAGGTTGTAAAACGGGGCAAACCTCACTTAACAACTGTCTTGCTTAGCAGTGGAAATTTTGGGCTTAATTGTCCTAAGTCGAGGACTACCTATAAAATGCAGGGACATCCATCTTCGTGAATGTGTATTTTTTTCCCTTTTAGGTTTTGGATGAAGTAACTCTGCAGAAGGGCCAGGGGGAAAGGAGTCCAGGCTGAGAACTTCTGATGCATAACCGACTAAAGAAATGAAGGGGTGAGAACCATATTTTGAATGTGTTGTTAGCCATAAACAACGGCAAATTTTGTGCTTTTGCTAAAATAGGATCCAAGATAAGCCAAGAAAGATAAATTAATATCTCTTTATTTATGCATAAGTAAAAGAGAGGTCACCCACGGATGCAAAGCGAGAGAGGTCTTTAAAAAAGGTAAGAAATCACTTTATATACAAGTGGGGATATATACACATTTTGGCTTTGGAATGTGCTCATTGGTTGGCCAGCATCATTGGAGTCATCGAGCATCTAGAGAGCATGCTCAGTAGCACTAGGTGCATCATGCAACAGTTCAAAGCATCCCGTGCTATTCTTGTGTTCTGGCTAATGACCAATTGCACACTCAGGAGGTGTTCCTGCATTATAATGAATTTTCAGGGTCAAATTCTTTGGGCAGCCCTTATAGAATCCACATTTTTTTCCTGGTTATTCAAAGAACTAAAAACATTGTCCCAACAGGATGTTTCAGTTCTGAACTGGGATGAGAAGTGAAACGTTTTCAAGGGAGGGTGGGACCAAGAAAGTCCAGTTCCCTTTTTGGGAAAAAGCACCTTTTGGGATGACTTGCATGATTGAGAATATCCGTGGGAAATGTTGATCAAACTGCTAAAAGCACTTACTCAAAGAGGCTCCCCTCCTGCTCCCATAAATATCAGGGTTGGAGAGCCAGGATGGCAGAAGACATAATAAAAAAAGAGAGGCCTTTTGATTCAACCAGCAGGTGTGGTGCTGTCTGGAAGAATAAGAATAATAAGAAGCCGAAATCCTGCCTCCCTTCCTTACCTCTTGGCCGACATGATCTTCTAAGAGCCGAGTTTCCACCTTTGGCCACTTTAAGATGTGTGGACTTCAGTTTCCAGAATTCCCCAGCCAGCAGGGTGGATAAAAAGCGATGCTTTTTAAAAAATAAATAAATTTATTTTTTTTAAAAATTTAAATCAGATTTTTTTTTATTTTTATCAAATTTATCTTAATAAAATGCTTTTGGAGTAAAAAAAAATCTAAAGATAGTTTTCTAATTTAAGATACGTTAATAATTTAGTTTATTCAGCCTGAAATGGAGCTTAGTTATATAGCATGAGGCTGTAGATTCTGCACTATTTATATTTTGGGGTAAACTCATTCAACGAATCCAAGCCCTGCAAGCTGAGATAACATGCCCTGCATTGATGCAGTCACACAATTTCACAGTAACCATGAGATAAATCATAAAACGAAGTTCAGGGATATTCCTTTTATCCCATTGTTTTGCAAATCTATGTACGCTGCAAACTGTATGATTGTTTGGAGAGAAAGGCATCTGTGCCACCAGGCTCTAAGGGTGAGGAGGAAGGGCAAGCAGTAATAATGGAAGGGAAACCTCCTAAGCAGCTTATAAAAAATATTAAAGAGCACCTGTCATTTCAAATCCATCCTGGCAGTGCCTGTTGGCAGGCAACCACTCACCTGCTGCCCACCACGTCCCTCACCTGGTTGTGTCCCTGCCGTATCACCAGCCATCCAGTGGTGGGAATCAAATATTTTTGCCTCTGGTTTGGTGGGCATGGCTTGCTGGGTGCGCTTTGTGTGCGTGCATGCACGCGCATTTTGCGCAGGCCCAGAGGCATTCTAACTCGCCTCCTGCAAGCCTGCACGATCCCAGATGGTTCAGCAGCTGCCACGCAGCAAACTCTTCTGTGCCCCGCAAAGCAGCTGAACTTCAAATTCAGCGGAGAAAGGTAAGTCTGGGAGCCTGGGCGGAGAGAACCAGTTCGGTCTCTGCTGCTCATCACTGCTACTGGATCGCCAGAACCGGGCCAAACCAGTAGAATACCACCATGACAGCCGTCCCATTAAAGTGAGAGGGATGGTAGGTGAGTCAACAGCATATCAGAGGAGCAGCCGCTGCGGGACAGAGATGACAGCTGCTCTTTAAAACTATGACTTAAATCAACTTGATTTAAATCAAGCCTTTTTACTAGCGATTTAAATCATGACTTAAATCGACTTTATTTTAAATCCAATCCACCCTGCCTGCCAGCATGTAGGATAGGGGTGAACCTAGGCCAGGGGTCTCCAAACTCGACAGCTTTGAGACTTGTGGACTTCAACTCCCAGAATTCCTTCACCTCCGGTCAGGTTAGCTCAGGAATTCTGGGAGTTGAAGCCCACAAGTCTTAAACTTGCCAAGTTTGAAGAGCCTTGGCCTAGGCAATTGCTTTGTCTGTAAAGCATGATAACAAGCTTAATGGGTTTACTGCAGAGTGGATAATCTGAGACCTTCCAAGGACTGCTGAATGCTACGGCTGCTCAAAGTTGTGCTTCAGTTATGTTTGGCCCATCTGCCCCGGTTGTATTTGGCTTACTGCCACAATTAAGCCCAAAATTTCGTTGCTAAGTGAGACAGTTGTCAGGTGAGGTTGTTAAGTCACTGCAGTTGTTACACCCTGCTTCAAAGTGATCGTTGAATTAATCCATTTTCTGAGTTTGCCAAAGCTGTATTTGCACAATAAAGGCCTGAAGGGGACATGGCAGAAAAATGGATGGCTCTCCGTACGGTTCCCCTGCTTTGAGCTTGGGAGCCCAGTCACTGGAGTTATTTCTTCGAATCAAAGCAGGATTGCTGTATGCATCTGCTTGGTCAGGTCGGGCTGCAGCAAAGAAATTGTATAAATATTCAGTGGTAAACTAAGCCAACGAGCTGGGTTTGCACCATGGACTAAGCCACAAAAATGACATGCACTTAGTTTGCACCATGGACTAAGCCACAAAAATGACAATCCAGGATAACACCAGGCTAATGAAGTGTGAGGGCAGACAATGCAGAGCAGTGTTTTGCAGCCTGGGCCACTTTTAAGATGTCTGGACTTCCAGCTCCCAGAATTCCCCAGCCAGTCTATAATTAGAAGATCTTCAACTGCCTTAAGAACCCATGTAGAATTTTGTCTTCTGTGCGTGTCTGGCTTATCCACCAAGCTGAGGATGAAGAAAGCTGACTTGGAAACAAATTGATTGCATTTAGGAAACTGAAAACTGAAAATACATGAAATAAAGCTCTAAAAACTAGTGGAAGCTTTAATAAGGAGATAACGACATCTCCAAGCCCCTCCCTCAGTATAAAAGATATACCTGTGGTGGATAGAACCTCTTTTTTGGGGAACAAATGTTCTCCAGATGTGGTGTGTCCCAGATCCTGTCTTGGCTCTTCTCCACCCTTCCTGCTCGAGGTAGGTGTCCACATACAATCCAGGTCAAATGGCTGTCCAGCCTCTTCTTAAAAGCCTCCAGTGATGGACCCCCCACAACTTCTAGCGACAAGTTGTTCCACTAATGAATCATCCCCACCATCAGGAAGTTTCTCCTTAGTTCTAGGTTGCTTTTCTCCTTGATTGGTTTCCACCGGTTGCTTCTCAGGTGCTTTGGAGAATAGCTTGACTCCCTCATCTTTATGGAAGCCCCTCAAATATTGGAATACTGCTATCATATTCCCCCTTAATCCTTGTCTTGATATACCCTCAAATCATTCATCACATCATCAATCATTCAGCTAAGCAGAGTCGGCCTCACTTTCAGGAGGGTCACAAAAAGGGACCCACAATCGCTTTGAGAGGGAGAAGGGTAATCTCTAAATATGACACATAAAAGGATAAACGTTTGATGGAAAGAATGTCCCCATCTCATGTGTTCTTCCTTGTCTCAGCAGGCAGCAGAAAACATCAGAGACAGAAGAGGGAACGGTTCAAATCCAGGAAGGTGAGCGTTCTCTGGCCCGTTTTATTTTTCTGCTCTTCCTACCCCCTTTCAAGATGGCTCCCTCCAAGGCAGCTCGGTTCCTGGAACCCCAGAAATTGGTCTACACCAGAGGTCTCCAAACTTGGCAACTTTAAGACTTGTAGACTTCAACTTCCAGAATTCTCCAGCCAGCTATAGCCACAAGTCTTAAAGTTGCCAAGTTTGGAGAGCCCTGGTCTACACAGTTCCTTGGTGACCTTATGGACACAATTTGGGGATGTGTTTCTTCTTGATTGAGAAGGTCTGAGATTTCCTGGTGGGCTCCCAGCCCTGTGCCTGCTTTAGATCTTACCTTTGATCTCAAGGATACAGGTAATCCTCGGCTTACGACCACAATTGAGCAATAGAATTTCTGTTGCTAAGCCAGACAGTTGTAAATTGTGTTTTGGCCCATTTTGTGATCTATCTGGCCACCGTTGTTAAGTGAATCACCACAGTTCTGAAGTCAGTCCTGTGGTTTTTAAGCCAATCTGCCTTCCCCCTTGACATTGCTTGTCAGAAGGTCGCAAAAGGGGATCACAGGGGCACTGCAACTGTCGTAAATATGAACCAGTTGCCGAGCATCTGAATTTTGATGACATGACCACTACAGCAGTCATAAAAACAGTCCTAAGTCACTTTTTTTGGGGGGGAAGGGGGGGATTGTAATTTCACACAGTCACTAAACGGATGATTGTGAGTGTTGCGATGGCCTAGAGGCGGAACTCTCGCCTCACAATCAGGAGGCTGTGAGTTCGATCCTAGGTAGAGGCAGATATTTCTCTCTCTCGGCACAATGAGAATAATATCTGCTGAACAAAACTCCATATCAGCAACAGGAAAGGCATCCAGCCAGTAAACACTCAGCTCCATTCAGTTGCCCAGACTCCACCCTGCAAGGAATTATGGGGGTTATTAAAAGGCTGAACGGATGATTGTAAGTCGAGGACTACCTATATTGCACAGTCCTGGGGAAGGGCCGGAATTAACCTGGCGGCTTCGGCCCTATTTAAGGCCTCTTTCTCTTCTTTCCTGAAGGAGCAGTAGCGACAGGTGAAGATCCCACCAGCGTGGCCATTGCAAGCATCCAGTCAGCAGCCACCTTTTCAGATCCAAACATCAAATATGTCTTCCGAGCAGAGAATGGAGGCACTCAGGTGAGCTGCGGCCAGAAGGTTTCCTCGCTTGCAACTCGGCAGGCATCCCAACCAGTGTTTCTCAAGTTGAGCAGGTTTCAGACGGGTGGGATTCCGGGTGTTGAATTCCACCAATCTTAAATTTGCTCAGGTTCAGAAACACTGGACCAAACAGGATCTCTGCCCTGCTGGCTCCCCCTATTAATATATATTCTTCAAAAACAGGAATCTGGTCTGCCCGAAACGACTTTCTCCCTTACTTGCATTGTTGCTGCTTGCAAGTTTGGATTTAACCCTGGTAGGCATTCGCTGGCTTTGGGGTGCATTTTCCCTACATTGCTCCCTTGGGGGGGGGGGTGTCAGAAAAAAGTCATTTTAAAAAAAGTAATCCAGCAACCAACCGTTCTTTATATGTTTAACCTCCAGGCCCCTAATAATCTTTGTTGCTCTTTTCTGCACTCTTTCTAGAGTCTCAACATCTGTTTTACATCATGTAAAACAGATGTTGAGACTCTGGAAGGAGTACAGAGAAGAGCAACCAGGATGATGAAGGAGACTGGAGGCTAAAACATACGATGAACGGTTGCAGGAACTGGGCCTGGCTAGTCTAGGAAAGAGAAGGATCAGGGTGTCGTGCTTGGGTGGGGGTTAGACTAGATGACCTACAAGGTCCCTTCCAACTGTTAATCTGGATCTATCTAAGATGATCAAAGGCCTGGAGATTAAAACATATGATGAACGGTTGCAGGAACTGGGCCTGGCTAGTCTAGTGAAGAGAAGGAGAGAGGATAGCAATGTGCCAATACTTGAGGGGCTGCCCCAAAGAAGAGGGAGTCAAGGTATTCTCCAAAGCACCAGAAAGCAAGACAAGAAACAATGGATGGAAACTAATCAAGGAGAAAAGCAATCTGGAATTGAGGAGAAATTTCCCGACAGTGAGAACAATTAACCAGTGGAACAACTTGTCTCTTGAAGCTATAAATGCTCCAACACTGGAAGTTTTGAAGAAGAGATTGGATAACCATTTGTCTGAAACGCTACAGGGTTTCCTGCCTGAGCAGGGGGTTGGACTAGAAGATCTCCAAGCTCCCTTCCAACTCTGTTATTCTATTTCCAGGGTCTCTACTTGCTATTTGGTATTTATTTCCGAGACAGATTGGAGGTCCTTGATTGTGTGATTACAAACCCCTTCATTTGAGTGTTTGTAATTTTTCCATCTGTTCCAGATGACACGGATGTGATTATTTAATCACATAGTGTGGCTTCCCAATTCTGATTAGGTACTCCTTATGAGCACAATTGAGGCCAAAATTTCTGTTGCTAAGCAAAACAGTTGTTAAATGAATTTTGCCCAATGTTACACCCTTTCTTGCCACAGTTGTTAAGTGAATCACTGCAGCTGTTATGATAGTAACATGGTTATTAAGGGAATCTGGTTCCCTCATTTGAAATCCAACTGGGTAGCTCTGGGCCAATCACCAGGAGACTGGGAGTTCTAGTCCTCCCTTAGACATGAAAGCCAGCCGGGTGCCTCTGGGCCAATCACGAGACAGTGAATTCTAGCCCTGCCTTAGGCACAAAAGACTGCTGGGTGATCTTGTGCCAGTCTCTCTCTCTCAGTCCAACCCACCTCACAGGGTTGTTGTAGGAAGAGGAAAGAGTTCCTGTAATATATGTGGGCCCCTGTATAATTTTGTCTCTATTCATCATGTTTGTGTGTGTATGTTAGAGGTGGAGACCCTTTGAGACTTGTATAGAACGAAATTTCATTTTAATGTATGCCAATTAGTGAACATTCAAAGGGACAAAGCCTTAAGTGTTTTATGTTTGCAGCTTTGAGGTTTTTACAAACATAACAAAAGGCGGGATACAAATAAATAATTTCAAAGCTCCCCATTCTCAGTTTACCACATTCATCACACAGAGTTGTCTCCTTTTTGCTCTTTCTTCCTCCAGCTGATGTACAGAGTCATACAGGTGGCCGAGGGGCAGCTGGATGGACAGACGGAGGGCAGTGGGGCCATCAGCGGCTACCCTGCAACGCAGTCCATGACCCAGGTAGGTGCTGCCGGTTTGGAGGAAGAGGAAGGCGAGTCCTTCTGGGGAAGAGAAAGCAGAGGCTAAATCCTCTGGCTGCAGGTGGGTCTCGAGGTGATTCAGTGGCAGTTTCTGCCAGGAGAACATTCTGGCTGGGGAACTCTGGGAGTTTGTTCTGGCCCAGGCTTCCCAAAATTACGAAGCAGACTCCTTGTCCCCACAAAACCCTTTCTATTTAGGTTAATGTGAATTCCTAGCATTCACATCCAGCAAAGTGCAGGCAAACAGTATTTCAAGGGGAAATTACAACCACAGACCTGAACGGGCTTGGAGAGCTGCCAGGCCAATAGCTTCCAAGCAGAAAACTGTAGCAGCCATTACTTGGCAAGGAGTCAGGAACAAATCTTTACACCAATTAAACAAACTGTCTCCTGAAAACACCACTCCTCTTTTGCTCCTCTTTTATTCCCTATGGGAGGGGCCATTCACCGTCCACCTGTGCCTTTACTCTCAAGTCGACCCTTGTTCCTCAGCTGTTCCCTTTTCCGGGCAGCTGTGCACATGCACACACTGGGAACCAGCTCCAGCTGTTCTTCCCCGCTGATCTCTGACTCTGAAGGCAGCTGATAACTGTCAGGCGGCCCTGGCCCCATCTCTGCCTCCGAGCCCTCGTCAAAGCCTTCCCCAGACTCCAGGTCCCTCCCCAACCTCCTCACTGTCCGAGTCTGCTTACAACTCTGCTGGCGGGCCACAACAGAGTTGAAGTCCTCACCTCTTAAGGTAGCCAAGATTGAGAAGCACCATCCTGGTGTATAATCCCTACTTTTCCCTTTGCTTTAGACCAGGGACCTCCAAACTTGCGGACTTTAAGACTTGTGGACTTCAACTCCCAGAATTCCCCTTGGCTCGCTGGGGAACTCTGGGAGTTGAAGTCCACAAATCTTGAAGTCACGGTCTTTTTTTAAAAAAAATATACATTTTTTCTTTAAACCATATAAGTGTTTAATAAACAGTGCATTGTCTGGATCAATTTATTTAATACAATATAATAATCTGATGATTACACTAATAACAGCTGTAGTAATAATACTGATGATTACATATGTATAGTCCAATTCTTGTATATGTATATGTATATATATATATAATCAATAACCTTTCATCTTCTAATTTTTACCTCTTTACCCATTGATAGAACAAATCCCATGTTAAAAAATATTCTGTTTCTTCCTTATCTTTTATGATTAATGTCAATCTTCCATTTCCGCACAGTCTTAATATTTTTCTAATTATACTTTCATCTGTAGGTATATCCTCATGTTTCCAATATTGTGCAAGTACAATTATTGCTGCTGTCAGCACATCTGTTATTAAATATGTAATCCCTTTATTATAATTTTCTGGTAATATACCAAACAAAACTATTTCTGGTTTGAAGACACCCTCTTCATCTTTTCTGCCCAGGCTGTCATCCAAGGAGCGTTCACAAGCGAAGATGCCGTCGACTCCGAAGCCGCGGCCACCGAGACCCACTATACCTATTACCCGGCCACTGTGGCCGACACCAGCACCTCTGCTGGAGCAGGGACGACCGCTGTGGTCACCACCCAGAACTCGGATGCCCTTCTGGGACAAGCTACGCCCACCGGCACAGGTCAGTCGGGTGGGACCACCGTCCCAGATGGAGGTCGGGCCCAGATTTCTCCTCCCACTGGGCTATCATTCTGATGCTCTCCCTGATCCTCCAATCTATTAATTCAAGTAATTTGTATTCCATTGATAAATGCTGCTTTTTGACTTGTAAACCGTTTTTGACAGATATGAAGGAAGTGATAATTTCGTATGCCCCTCCCCCTATTAGTGCAAGTCACATTGTCCAGTTGAGTGTCATTATTTTGTTATGGGAAAAAGTCTCTGGTCTTGGCAGACACCTGCCGGTGTGTCCTTGGCTCTCATGGCTCTTTTTGTTGAAGTCTGGGCCCTGCATTCCATCTCACCTTTCCCTCCCTCCTAGTTCTTTGGCAAGTGGAGGAGCGATAATGGTTGCAATGGCATAAGCGCGCTTCGAGCTTGACAGAACTGTTTTAAGAACTATCTATGGTTGCTTTAATCTGGCAAGATTCCGTCTGTAGGTGAACAACAATGAAAAAACTACTTGGAAGGAACTCCAGTTTTGGGTTTGGTTCTTGGATGTGATTCGTTATGGAGTATTTTGTAAACATAAAGCGCGCTCTCTCTCTCTCTCTCCCACTTCGAACAGGACAGTTTTTCGTCATGATGTCACCCCAGGAGGTGCTACAGAGTGGAACCCAGCGGTCAATTGCACCACGGACTCACCCTTATTCCCCGTGAGTGACTGGCCTCGTATTTAATGGCCTGCTTGCTGGAAGTCTGAATTGTGGGAGGGTGGGAACTTTTTTTCTTGGTTTTCCCAAGTTTTCAGAATTGGTTTGATAGGGCAGTGGGCCCCAACCTTGTGGGCACCAGGGACTGGTTCCTTGGAGGTTTTTTGCGGACCAGAGGGGGGCCTGGTTTTGTGTGCTGCCTGTATCCCATGGATGGATGGGGCTTGGCTTGTATGTGTGAGCTGGTTTCTGGCATGCCACAGACTGGGAGTTGGGGACCCCTGTGCCAAGGTCTCTGTCGGGATTTGTGAATACAACTTTGAGTGAAGAATTATTTTTTCTTAGGATTTTTCAGTAGGTCTCCTGCCTTGAGCAGGGGATTGGACTCCAAGGTCCTTTCCAGAAGATTCTATCTTCCATGTTCTAGCACAATAAAAGGATAAAAAAGTTCAGAACTTTTTAAAAATGGAAAATAGAAAAACATGACAAAAAGAAGGAAAATATGGAGTGATGATTTCCATCCTTCTTTCCACTGAGTAATTGCCATCTTAATTTTCCCCCTTCCTCTTTACCCTTTTGAATCAAATCTTCATTATGGCTTATTATAGAATGAGACACGAATAATATTTTTTTAAAAAACATAAAAACAAAACTTAACACACGGTTAAAGTTAAACCAAGAAAAACACTGTGATGACCCAGGGTGGGATACAAAAGCAACAAAGTTACAAAAAACAGGTAAAGTCCCTTTAATTCCTTCAACTTTAATTCCTTCAAAGCTCCAATTATCATTGACTGGAGAAAAAAAAAACCACAAACAGTTGCCAAACTCAAAATACATATAAATTATAAATAGAAAAAAAAACAACACAAACCACACTGAAGCAATTAATGAGACAAGGCAGGATAAGGGCTTGAAGACGTCCACAGATATCAAAATACACACACTGGGGAGGACGCCAGAACTCAGATAAGAACTGAAAGACTAGAAATATTTTCAGGCTTTGCTTCCAGCACTGGGCCATGCACAGTTTGTCCTTTTAAACAATCCTCACAGCTGCAGCCCATGAAGGGGCTCAAGGCCACTTCCTCCCCCGTAGACCGCACCATTCACATTTCTCCCTTATCCGTTTCTCCCTGCATGCCCTAGGATGAAGAGGGGATGGGCGTGGGTCTTCCTCTGAATGCCCAGCCGGTCTGTGTTCTTCTCCAGTTTCCTCCACAACCTCCGGAGCCACACTCCCACTCCCTGTCAGCTGTTCCTTCTCTCCCTGAATCAGATTCTAACGGGCATGGCAAATACATTAATCCCCCTTTTAATCCCCCCTCTATAAATCCACAATTCAATCTTTTCTTCTTTCCCCCAAAATTCCAAAAAGGTTTCCAGTCTTTTTTTGTTTTAAAACTCTTGTATCATTTTTACCCTGATCAAACTGCTTAGCCTTGCAGTTTTATAATCCAGTCTTCCTCTGTGGATATGTCATTATACTTCCCTCTGTGCATACAATAACCTTAATTTCCCATATTTCTTTTCAAGTTCAGTCCATAATGCCCAATAGAAACAACCCTGGTTTCATTTAATATTAATCCGCATATCTCATCAGGGTATAAATTTGCACCCCAAATTTCTTTGCTTTTTCTCATATCCACCAAGCCCCCCTCTTCCTTTTCACCTTTCCAGTTGAGTTCGATAGTCCTTCGTCCATTTTCAACATCTTAGCCAGAGTCACAGACCAACAATGCCTCATTTGTAAGACTCCTGTCTTAAATTACGACACGATGCAAATTTAATGACGCAAGTGAAAATTATAGCCGCCTTTTCCCCCTCCCAGGAAATCAGAAGCTCCACGGACAACACGGGATGAGAAGCGTCGGGCACAGCACAACGAAGGTGAGGAAGGCAGCTGGTTTGGGGGGGTGGGGAGAGAGGCAATGCTGCATAGTGGTTAGGTTGGTGAAGTAGAACTGGGGAGATCAAATCCGTCCCCAGCCATGGAAACTCACTAGGCGACTTTCTCTGCCCAGCCTCCCTCACAGGGTGGTTGTTGTGGGGAGGTAGGAATAAAGGAAGGTCCCCATGAAAAGAGGAGGGCTGTGTATGGGGAGTCCTCGACTTACGACAATTGAAGTTACAACAGCACTGGAAAAACTGACGTAAGGCCGGTCTTGCACTTAGCACCGTGGCAGAACCCCCACAACCTTGCAAAACAGAGGCTCTCCTTCCAGAAAGTAACCCTGTGCTCCCTTTGTGTCCTGCAGTGGAACGCCGGCGCAGGGACAAGATCAACAACTGGATTGTGCAGCTGTCTAAGATCATTCCGGACTGTTCTATGGAGAACACCAAATCCGGACAGGTGAGAACAGTTGAGCGGCTCTGCTGTGGGGAGGTAAGGTTTAGGGTTGGTGATGGAGGAGATATTAGTCCCGCCTTGGGCAGGAAAGCCGGCTGGGCGTCTTTGAGCCAATGGCCAGGAGACTTGGAGTTCTAGTCCCGCCTTGGGCATGAAAGCCAACCAGGTGACTTTTGGGCCAGCTTTCCTCTCTCTCAACCCAACCCACCTCCCAGGTGTGTTGTCAAAAAAAAATAAAGGCAGGATACAAATAAATAGAGAGAAAAATGGTGACATCAGTCTTCCCGGCAGTTACCTTCGCTGCCAAGAAGGCTAATGCTTTTGTAGAATAGAATGGAATAGGAATAGAACAAATATTGGGTGGAATAGAATAGAATTAAAATAATAATGAATGGAATGGAATGGAATGGAATTCTTTATTGGCCGTATGCTCTCAGTGTACATAAAAGATACATAAAAGATCAATTTTTATTTAAAAATGTACATGAAAGATACATAAAGGATCAATTTTGCTTAAAATTGATCATACAGGAAGCCCTTGAGTTACAGCCACTTGTTCAGCCACCCTTCAAAGTTGCAGTGGCACTGAAGGAGAAGGACTTACGACGAGTGTGTGACATTGCTGCCCTCGCAGTGTTCCCAGTGATCGCATGATCTGGGCACTCAGGTCTCCGACTCGCAGTTATGACCTGGCAGAAGTCACCCAATTGCCATTTTCGTCATTCCCTGCCAGTTTCCCACAAGCAAAGTCAATGGGGAAGCCAGCAGGGAAGGTCACAAGTGGCCCTCATAAGTCACTGCAGGGATCTCATACTCTGTAGGAAACCCACCCACCCCACCTGCGGTGCACACCCACCTGGCACATGTACACTCCTTGGGACTCTCACCCCATTTAACAACTCAATGGTCCTGCAATTGTGACTGCAGTTGGGACCAGAATTTCTGTCCCTGAGCAATACAGTCACAGGATGTCATGTTTTAAAATCACATCACTTAGTGACCAAAATTTTATCCCAAAATTTTATTGCTGTCATAACCTGAGGACTGCTGGTATTGAATAGAAAGGGAGGGAGGGATAAAATGGATGCTGCAAGATACCTTTGCAAGACACCTCCAGCGTTCTTCATCATTGGCTTCTGCGACTGGAGTGACATCTAGTAGATACCTGGAGGCCACAGATTCCTCCGTAGCAGATTTTGCACTCCTGGTGATCTAGTTAGTGATCTATCAGGCTGGTAACCATTAGCTCATTGGTGGTAAAAGAGCTATTTGCAGGGGTGGGGTTCAAAAATCCCAGCAACCGGTTCGTTGCCCAGTTGCTGGGTGGGCATGGCCTACTGGAACTTCTGGGAGGGCCGTTTTTTGCCCTCCCAGAGCCTCCGCGCATCCCCTGCACTTACCTGCATCGAAAGTGGGCTGCGTGGAGACTCCGGGGAGGGGAGGGGAGGGGTGGGCGGGGCCAGCCGGTCGGTTCAACTACCGGTTTGGCGAACCAGATGCAAATTTAACATCCGGTTTGCCCGAACCAGTAGAATCCCACCCCTGGCTATTGGACTCCAGTCTTCAGTCCAGGATGCTTAGGGAGCGATGATCCAGAAGGTTCTGCCTTCTCTTCTTTCAAAGTGGGGACCAAATCCGTAATGGTGGCTCCCCCAAAGTAGCCGAGGTTACTCTCTTGAGTCCCTTTCTCTCCCTCCCCCTGCAGAGTAAAGGAGGGATTCTCTCCAAAGCTTGTGACTACATTCAGGAATTAAGACAGAATAACCTCCGTCTTTCTGAGGAACTGCAGGGCCTGGACCAGCTCCAGGTGGACAATGGAGTCCTGCGACAACAGGTAAGGTTGACAGACCCCCTTGCCCTATTTCTGGAGGGGACCCTCGGTGCTCTGGCTTTCCCATCAAAGGAAAGACTTCAAGGGTCTAGGATGAATCCAGCTGAGCAGCCTGACCCGATCCAAACAACATGCCAACCGTCTCATTCACCAAACCAGAGGTCCCCAAACTTGGCAACTTTAAGACTTGTGGACTTCAACACCCAGAGCTGGCTGGAGAATTCTGGGAGTTGAAGTCCACAAGTCTCAAGGTTGCCAAGTTTGGGGACCCCTGCACCAAAACCCTTGGATGTCTCGACTAGTCCTTCTCAACCTGCTAACTGGGGAATCCTGGGGACTGGCACGCACTCATCTTTTCATTTTATTCAAAAAAGGTTAAAATACAAAACTCCCCTACAAATTTAAAACAAAAAAAAACACCCTACAAAACAAGGTTTTGAAAAAAAGGTGCAAAAATGAAGAAAAACTACAGAATTAAACATATTCCCCTCCCCCAAGTTGAATATTGATTAATATATTACTGCAATATTGCTATCCCTCCTATTGCGAAACACACCTAGAAAAAAAAATTAAATACTGAGCTATTTGCAAATTAGTGGCCTGTCATCCATATAGAGATCAGAACAGCAAAGTTGGGAGGGACCTTGGAGGTCACCTAGTCCAGGGATCGGCAACCGTTTGGACAAGTTCACCTCTTCCGCCCTTTCTCTCCTCCCCTCACTACCTTTTGTTGTGCGCAATGCAAGCGACGCAAACCATGTGGTCCCGTGGGCCATGTGTTCCTGTGCAGCCTGGATTAATTGCTTTGGGAGGGACATTTATCTGCAAAACCACCAAAATTTTCTCGCAGACCACCAGTGGTCCCCAGCCTACTGGTTGGTGACCACTGGACTAGTCCAACCCCTCCCCAAGCAGGAGACCCTAAACACCAATTCTGAAAGGTGGCAGTGCAGTCTCTTCTTGAAAGCCTCCAATGATGAAGCTCCCACAACTTCTGAAGGCAACTTCTGTTCCATTGGTGGATTGTTCTCCTTATTTCCAGCTTGAATTTCTCCTTGGTTAGTTTCCATCCATTATTCCTTGTCTGGCCTTCAGGTGCCTTGGATAATAGCTTGACTCCTTCATCCTCTCTGGGGCAGCCCCTCAAATACTGGAAGATACTCTCAGGTCTCCCCTGGTCCTTCACTAGACTAGCTATGCCTAGTTCTTACAACCATACATTGACTGTTTCAGCCTCCAGTCCCCTCATCTTCATGGTTGTTCTTCTCTGCACTCTTTCTAGATCAGCAATCGCCAACTGGTGGGCCGTGGCCCACTGGTCGGCTGTGAGAAAATTTTGGTGGGCCCCAGAGAAATCTCACCCCCCAGAGCACCCCCCAAAGCAATTAATCCAGGCTGCACTGAAACACAAAGCTGCGCCGCCCACATGGCCCGCAGGAACCCTCCCCGCCCACTCACTCCTTACCAGGTAAACTTGCCTGCTAAATTTCTATTTTTCTATTTTCCTACCATCATCTGTTCTGCTGTGCCGGGAGATTTACATTAGCTAGGAAGCAGGAAATGGTTGGATTTCTTGCTTTCTAGCTAGTCTTTAGATATTTGGCTCAGCACAGCCGAACCTCCCTTAGGACTGAAGGTTTGCTTGCAAGCAAATTCAGTGCAGACTCACGGCAAGCAAATTTGAGAGACTGAGCTAGCCGATGGCAGATAGATAGATCATTGAATGATTCTGTGAGCAACTCAATCTGCCTGCTTTGCCTGATTTTGGATAAATGTTGCTTTTTTTAAATAAAAAAAATCAATATTTACATAATATTTATAATATTTACATACAAGCCATGCCCAGCCAGTCACATGACCACCAAGCTACACCCATAAATTAGGCCACACCCACAGAACCAGTTAGTGGTCCCTGGGATCTAAAATTATGAGTTTGGTGGTCCCTGAGGTCCAAAAGGTTGGCGACCCCTGTTCTAGATTCTCAACATCTTTTTTGTAGTGTGACCAAAACTGGATGCCATACTCCAGGTGTGGCCTTACTAAGGCTTTATAGAGTGGTATTAGTACCTCCCTTGATCCTGATTCTACCCTCTGATGGGTAGACATCCTGTTAAGATGTCCACCCATCTTAGAATGGATTAAACAATGGAACCTCCATCTCTTCTGCTCGCAGGTCGAGGATCTGAAGAACAAAAACCTGATTCTACGAGCACAGCTCCGACAGCATGGCGTGGAGGTGATCATCAAGGAGTCCCACTGACCGACCACCCACCAGCAGGGAGGGTCTCACTCAAGATGCAGACCCCCCCATCTCGGGCACAGTAGGAGGCCGCGATGCCCAGCTGTACCGGTGCTTCCAAGCCTCCCTTCCTTTCTTCTCTCTCTCTCTCTCCTCCCCGGTGCCGGATTGAAAGGCTGCATCCCCTCCCTCGGGGCAGGACTCGGCTCAGAACGTTCGACTTTGCTGTCCAGCCGTCCTTTGGCTCGGCCCTCCGAGCTTGACAGTGACAAACGTACTCTTGGTTCGTAGGACCCTCAAAGGAATATACCCCCCTTCCTCCTCCCCCCCCCCCCCCCACGAGTTGTGTTGATCCTCTCCCAGCCCTGCCGTTCGGCTGAGCATTGCCGCTCCCCTCGCGCGCTTCCTCCGACGCCCCCTTGCATGCAACCTCACGTAGTTCCCGTCCAGAGTTTTCCCTACTCCCACCCGTGGCACAGGGAACTCCAGAGATCGTGTGTCGTCCCCCCCCTGGGCCCTGCTCCTGCCAAGCGAGGGGGTGGAGCTCTAGGCAGCCCCTCCTGCTTGCCCTCTCTCACCCAACCTTCTCTCCTTGGATGGACTCCGGACGCTCGATGCTCCCCGTGTGTTTCTGCGTTGCCGAAAAGACGCAACGTTGCTCGCATTGTGCTGCAGAGTGCCAAGGACTGGAGTGGGTTGCAAGTGGTCACCGTCTTCCTCTCTCGAAGATGATGCATCTAACGATCAGGATAGCAGTTCTCTTTTTTTTCCCCCTCTTTTTTATATAAACCCTAAGTTTTGGATGACAACAAAAAAAGGAACGTAATTAAATAGCTGCCTTGCTGGGTTGATTTGCATTTGGTTTTGTTCAGGGACGGCTTGGGATCAGTCCATGGAGGGGAAGGTTGGTGCTTGGAGCCAGTATGGGCAAGTTTGTGTTGGCTCGCTCTCTCTCCCCAACGTTGGCAGGACTGGATGGTGGGGGTGCCCAGTGGGCAAAAGAAGTTGGGTGTCAGGATGGGGACGCCAAAATCTCTCTTCCAGCAGTCTTGTAAGGTGCCCCAAAGCTGTGCTGCCCTGCCTTGGACAAACAGCAGGGAAACCAATAGAAGATTTGTAGTTCGGTGTTGGACTTGGGGTCCTTGGTGGTCCCTGAGCAGACCTTTCATGACCCAACTAGGGAACCTCATCAGTGCTGGAAGAGTGGGGGGTTTGTGGAGGGGGAGGAGGAGAATGACAACTGTGGGGGTCCTTGGTGCTCTCTGAGCCTGGTTGTCAGGTTTCCAAGTGATGAAACCCATTTAAAACGAAAAGAGCAAAGTCCGTCTTCCAAAACAGATATTTTATTTAGGTAAAGCATCACACTGGCAAAGTCTGTTGTAATTCCAGATCTGACCCAAACTGGAATTACACCACATAATATTGGAAATCAGAAACACCCCATAAAAGTCACATTTCCCCAATAAAAAGAAATCAACGTTGCCTGATGCCTTCAAACTCCACCTCCAGACCCTCAGCGGGGACAGATTCTCTGTTCCCACAGGAAAGAAAGGCACCTAAGCCAAAACTATCTACCCACCTTAAGAATGGGGTGAAACCCTCCCCCCTTACACCCGCAAAGAGAAGGAAAGAAAAAAGGAATATAGTAAAATATAGAGCTAAATAAAATGGCTACATACATACATCAACTTTGGGCTCGACATTGGTGGTTTGCTTGCAGATGTTTCGTGACCCAACTAGGGAACGTCATCAGTTCTGGAAGGGAGGGGAGGTTGGAGGAGGAGGAGGAGAAAGAAGTAGTGGAGGAAGTGGAAGTGCTGCCTGGGGCCTTTGGTGCTCTCTGGGATTGGTTATTTTCCTGCAGAGGTTTCATTGCCAAACTAGGTAACATCATCAGTGCTAGAAGGGATTAGGGTTTGTGGGGAGGGGGTTTTGCTCTCTGTGTATATATATATGTGTATGTGTGTGGCTTGACATGTCGGGGGTGGGGGGGGTTGGTAAGTTGTTTTTCTCCTGTGTGGTTCCTTGATGGTTTTCTGCCTGGATGTATTTTCTGGTCACATACATTCATGTTACAATGAAATCAGTAGAGCTCCCTTTTCCCTTTAAATGAGAGGTTGTTTTTTTTCCAAATTCAGTCAAACCTCTGAAGCGCTTCAAATTTTATGCTCCTCGTTTCAATCTTCTGAAACCTCTCGGGTGAATCGATCCGGCTATTGTGCCATTAAGAACCTCCAAAAGATCTTTGTCTTGTTAACAATCCAACCTTGCAATTGGAATATATTATCCTCTCTCCACTGAGCAACCTTCTCCGTGAAAACCAAACATTTCATAACACGGAAAGAAAGAAAAAGAGAAAAAAATTCTGGACTTCATGCTTTTTCTGCACTTACCCAGATAACCAATACGTTACTTATTGCTGCAAAAGTTATCCTGCACTACGTTGTTCCTTATTAACCAGAGATGCTTTATGCAGATTGACTTGCCCCTCGCATAGAAGGAGTCAGTTGCTCGTAAAGAGAGAGAACCCATAATCCACCTTAAGTAACTGGCCTGGTAGTACAATGTAAAGTCTGGAGCTGTCAATCCGGCTAAATCTTCAGAGTCTTGTAAAATCTCAAATTTAATCCTTTTGTAAACTGAGATGAAGGCTCCATGAAGATGTCCAAGGTGGACAGATCAAATATGTTCTTTTCCCTGCGGAGATCTGGGTCACCGGTCAACTCCCCAGAAACCCAGGATGGTCTGACCATGAGAATAGGCTGATGGAAATATTCCCCATTGTTTGATCAGGTCCCAGCAGCTCCAAGACAATAATTAGGTCTAATATAGGTGTAGTGCCTTTTAATGAGAAGAGAATAGAGAATAGAATAGGAATAGAAGAGAGAATAGAATAGGAAGAAGGAATAGAATAGAATAGAATGTAAAATAGAATAGGAATAGAATAATGGAATGGAATAGAATAGGAATAGAAGAGAAGAGAATAGAATAAGAATAGAATAGAATGTAAAATAGAATAGAATAGAATAGAATAGAGAATATAGTAATATAATGAATAGAATGTAAAATAGAATAGAATAGAGAATAGAGAATAGGATGGAATGGAATAGAATACAGAATAGAATAGAATAGAGAATAGGATGGAAAGGAATGGAAGAATAGAGTAGAACAGAATAGAATACAGAATAGAAATAGAACAGAGCTGGAAAGGGACCTTGGGAGGTCTGGTCCAGACTTCTGGTCCTTGTCTTACAATTGCCATCAGGACCAGAGTTTCCATTGTTAAGCAAGCTGGGAGGTGCCTGATTGTACAACCGTTTTCCCACAATCGTTAAGTGGAGACTTGCGGTTGGTTGTTAACTGGATCATGTGGTGGTTGAGCGAATCTGGCTTTCCCCACATAACTTGGCTGGTCAGAAGCCAGCTAGGGAAGCTCAAAATTGTTGATCCCACAATCCTGGGATGCTGGAACCATCATACATACATAACTGGTTGCCAAAACCAACTAAAGTTTGATGATATGACTGGGGAATGCAGTCGTAAGAGCAAGGACCGGCCAGAAGCCACTGTTTTCTCAGGGCCCTTGTAACTTGAGAGAGCCGGTAAATGAAAATGGCTGTGAGCTATGTAACTGCCTATATCAGGGCCCCCCAAACTTGGCAACTTGAAGACGTGTGGACTTCAACTCCCAGAATTCTCCAGCCAGTTCTGAATTCTGGGAGTTGAAGTCCACATGTCTTCAAGTTTCTGTTCCGACCTAGGCTTCCTCAATCATAATTAATCACAAACTTGTTTTAAAAGCAAAACCAATTTTACTGCAACGCTGGGAATTGTTTTCATTCCCAGCCAGAGCTATTCTTAAACAGTTCCCCAAGATAAGCGCCCACCTTTCAGTTCTGTGGAATGCTGCCCAAAACAGACGTAGCCAATTAACTAGAAAAGAAACCAACGGACGTACAAGGAAAAACCAACCAAATTACACAGAGCTTAAGGAGGACTCGGATCCGATCGAACGACTTTTCTTCCTGCAAAGAGTTCATCCTTGAGGTCTGATTTTATCCTTTATGGGAGGGGCAATCACCTCCCAGCCTTACTCCCAAGTTGCCCCTTCTGCTTCACCTTCTAGCAGCTCTGTGCACACACGCACTGGGAACAGGCTCCCCTTGTTCCTCTGCTTTGTTGCTGCCAGGCTCCGGAGGCAACACCTGTGGTAGCTACTGAGATCCTATAGATGACGCTAGATGCTAGCAGCAAACTGCAGCCTTTAGCTACGGGGGCCTCTCTTGTTACTGCATGATCTCATCCTCTTATCTGTTGGGTTGGAAAGTCCCAGACTTTCCAACCATATAGGTGATCTCATTTACTAACATCACCACTAGTCTTAAGGATTGGTAGGGAGGTTGTACCAATGTGGTTGAAAGGTTTCACCCATGTGGCATCTATTCTCCAATCCAAACACTGTATCTATGTTACACTTCTTTGCTTGTAAAAATAGTATAAAAATAATAAACGCCACGTATGTGGTCAGACATCTTGGCACCCCGCACAATGACTGATCTTTGAAATCCATCAAGCACCCCACTCCCAGGTGGTCCTGGCCCCATCTCTGCATCGGACGCAGGACCCTCGTCCGAGTCCTCCCCAGACTCCCAGACTGGCCCCTGTTCTTCCCCATTGTCCAATTCCATTGCTGTCTGCACAGGCTGCCAGTGAACCACAACAGTTGCCAAGTTTGGAGACCTCTGGCCTATATGATGGGCTCATAGTTGTCCAGCTGGCCACCCTCCATCCCGTGAGCCATTGGTTCCTTCCCCAGGTGAGGGGGTGGAGTTAAGTTGAGTCCCCCCGCCCCAAAAAACGAAACTCTAGGGACCTCAAACATCAACGCCGAACCAATTCTTCTTAGTTTGTACAGGTAGACCTTCACCTAGAACACAATTGAGCACCAAATTTATGTCGATAAGCGAGACAATTACGAAGTGAGCTTTGCCCCATTTTACAGTCTTCCGTGCCACCATTGTTAAGTGAATCACTGCAGTTTGTTAAGTTAGTCACACAGTGGTTCAGGGAATCCGGCTCTCCTGTTGACTTTGCTTATCGGAAGGTCGCAAAAAGGGATCATGTGACCCTGGGACACTGCGACCGTCATAAGTATGAGTCAGTTGCCAAGTGTCTGGGTTTTGGTCATATGACCATGAGGATGCTGCAACGGTTGTAAGTGTGGAAAATGGTCATAAGTCACTTTTTTCAGGGCCGTTGTAATTTGGAATGGTGACTAAATGAATGATTGTAAATCAGGAATTACCTGGATTAGTCTTTTATAGCCATAGCAACAGCACTTAAATTTATATCCCGCTTCACAGTGCTTTTAACAACCCTCTCTAAGCAGTTTACAGAATCAGCCTTTTGCCCCCAACAATCTGGGGGCAATTTTACCCACCTTGGAAGGACGGAAGGCTGAGTCAACCTTGAGCTGGGTGGATCAAACTGCTGGTAATGGACAATCCTGCATTCTAACCATTGCGCCACGACAGAAAGAGGGAGGGAGGGAGGGAGGAAGGAAGGAAGGAAGCAAAGGAGGAGGAAGGAAGGAAAATAGTAAAGCACAGACTTATATACAGTGTCACAGTGCTTCACAGCTCCCTCTAAGCAGTTTACAGGGTCAGCCTATATGCCCCCAACAATCTGGGTCCTCATTTTACCCACCTCGGAAGGACGGAAGGCTGAGTCAACCTTGAGCTAGTCAAGATCAAACTGCTGGCAGTTGGCAGAGTTAACCTGTAGTACTGCATTCTGGAAGGAAGGAAGGAAGGAAGGAAGGAAGGAAGGAAGGAAGGAAGGA